GCAGTTTGCTGATCTCGACAGAGGAAGGAGTCCATTGGGGGTAAGCCATACAAGCAAAAATGTATTTATTAGGATCGGATAACACAGTTGCATTGCACAAGGAGTTGGAATGAACGAGATGAAAGATGCTCCAGGTTGTGTAACGCTTACAGAAGAGATACATGATTGTGTTTTCTCTTTTTAGACTGAGAAGATTTCAAACCAGTGGCTCAGAATTACATATTTAGTCCATTCTAATTCATAATATCCATCTAAAACCACTGCTATATAACAAACTACCGTGCACACATTTGTATACAGTTCCACCGTATATACCCACCTCTTTTAAGGAATGTCAGCGGAATCAGGGCCCGGCCGGATTGTGCTTAGACCAAAGGGGAAGTTAGCGATCAGTAGATTTTTTTCCCTACCGAAAAAAGCAGACCAAAACAGTGTGTGCGTGTTGTGGTGGTCAGAGGAGTCAAGGGAAGCGATCCATTCAAAAATGCTGGAATGAGTGTATATTACAGGGAAAACCACTATGACCTAATCAAAATCAGTGAAAAGTTAATTTAGCGTGTCATAGTACGACTGCCGCTAAAAGTCTATGGTCTGCCGCTATCCTGTGTGCACATAGGCTGTACATTAGGACTGGACTGATCGAGCTAATAGCGCTAATGTCACTATTGTGTTAGCCTTAATGTGGAAGAGGTTAGAAAAAGGCTAGATCGGTAGCACCACTGGTCCCTCTCCACTGCTACCAGCGAGCTGATGCCAAATTCCGTGCCAGAAGGCTCCTGATCGGTCAATTGTTTTGACACAAACGGTTAATGAACTGAGAGTTAACTTTTCAATGAAAGTCAATAGGAACCAAATTTCATCCATGAGCACTTCACTATTAGGCTTCATTGAGCTAGAGGGGTTAGCATTGTCCATCTATATGCAGTCTATTTGTGTGCATTGTCGCCCCAAATTTTTTATACCATTTTTTAAAAAGGACAAACCTTGAACAAATCCAGTTTCATAGTAATAAAATAACTTAAATAAAGTATCCAGTTTTACACCAATTGTGTGTTCGGTTTGACAGTTTCTATAAAACAAAAAACTTCCAAACTGCTTTGTGCTGATCCAAAGCTAAAGACGCCAACATGGTACGATCTTTTCTCCCTTCAGCCACTGATACAGGCGCTGTAGTAAACCGCACTCGTGGCGTCAGAGAGAGCTGAAATGAGCGGACTACTAGCATCCTCACAACCGCTTCCACTAGCCATAACGCTATTGACGTCCCGGCTGACCATGCTTCCATTGGCGCTACTCCGACTAAGTTTCGTCAGCCCGTATGCCTCCTCTCTGCTCCTGCGCATGAACTGGTCAAACTCGTGCCGATCCACCTCCGACCAGAAATCGTTAGCGGCAAGGTTAGGAATGTTGCACGTCAAGCTAGCGTGGTCCGTGTGCTGGATCGGGTTCAAAAAGGTTGAAACACTTGAATTTGCGCAACAGGTTTCAGGCGGAGGCGACAGCTGGCCCAGACTTGGCGGTGCAAAAGGATTGGCATTAGCCGTTGTGCTAGTAGGGTACATTTGGCCGTAGTAGCTGGAAGAGCAAGAATCAGGAACGTGGCATTTGCCGGGATTCCTTAGGGCGATGTGGTGGCTTGGAATCTGGTTCACCCTCGACTCGACGTCAACCCTCGAACTCCTCAGAGGGCTAAGCGTAGAGCTAGCGCCACCGTTCAAGCTAACCGTCTGAGCATTTTGACCGTAGCGATGGCCATAGTGCTGGATTTGATGGTAGTTGTTCCAACCGCTTTCCTCTTGAGGGAAAAACACAGAATCACCAGCTCCAGAGTCATCCAAGACGTCCAGGGGTGACATTTCAGGCGTGGGCAGGCCATAGTTCTCCAGTTCTGGGTGGTGAAGGTCTTGGAAGTGTCCCAGCGAAGGCAGCAGGTGGTGGGGATGGCCGTGGTGGGAGGAGTGGGAGCCTGGATGTCCGTATGAAGGAGGTAGGTTGTCTCCCATGCCCAGGCCGGTGACTCCTCCCTGGGCAAAGCCGTGGAGGAGGATCCCTGGCTCTACGCGCTTGAGTTTCTTGGTGGTTTTTTTGCGGCGAGGGCGGTACTTGTAGTTGGGATGGTCCTGAAGGTGTTGGACCCTCAAGCGCTCGGCCTCCTCTACGAAAGGGCGCTTGTCGCAGGCGTTGAGGGATTTCCACGACTGTCCTGCAGAGCGAAAAGGACACGTATTATTTATTGTGTTACAATTTGACAAAAATAGTAAACACATCCATTAGTCTTCAGATAAAACAGAGGGAGATTTTGGTTCCAATCTTGCCTAAAGTACACTGTAAAAAAGAAAAAGTTAGTTCAACTCAAAATTTCAAAGCAACCAGCTGCGAAGGATTTTTGAGTTGAAGGTATTAACTTAATTCTTCAAGTTTTGAAGAACTACACTTATTAAGTTGTGTCAGTTAAGTTTTCCAAGTTCTGCCAACTAAGTGTTTAAATTCAAGTTACTGGAAATTTCAAGTCTGTAAAAACTTACTTTTTTAAGTTCAGATTACTGTCCCCTACAATAACTTACTATTTTGAGTTTAAATTAGCCCCCACATTAAAATATCATGATGTTTATTTATATAGCGCATTTTAAGGTCACTTGGGTAGGGGAAACCGGAGCACCCGGAGGAAATCTATGCAGACACAGAGAACATGCAAATTCCACACAGAAAGGCCCTGTTCCGACCGGGATTCGAACCCAGGACCTTCATGTCAAGAAGCGAGAGTGCTATCCACTCTGCCACCGTGCCGCACACACTGTGAACCAGAGGGGAAACTTAATGTTTCTAAGACTGATCCAGAGAATATACAGGGCTACTTTGGCTTGGCCCTGTCGATTACGGTTGGTAAAAATAAATACAATGATTTTTTTGGTCAAATTAGTTTGTTCAAAATGTTGAATGCAGCTGGTTGCCATAACACATATTTAAATGAGCAAACGCAGATAAGTTGACCTCACTATAGCTCGGTGAACTGTAAAAACGACAACTCAAAATTGTTCACCTTACTCAGATTTTTGCATTCACTGACAATAAAAATTTTAAAGGCGACAGTAGCTCAGTTGGTAGAGCATTGGCCTTAAGGCCAGAAGGTCGTGGGTTCAATTCCCACCTCTGCACCTTCTCCATCGGCTCCCACTGATGACTGCTGTCGTTGTGTCCTTGGGCAAGACACTTAACCCCACTTTGCCCAAAGCCCCCACTGAAAGATCAAGGCTATGCTCACACTCAGAGAGCAGCCGTCCTCCTGTGGACTCACCACCTGCAGAGGGTCAGTGAGGGGCTGGTGCTATGAGACTTGGGTGGCATCTCTGACTGCCACCCCCCTGACCCAGAAATGGATTAAAGGGTAGAAAATGGATGGATGGATGACAATAAAATTTCCAGTTGGAACTGGAACTATCTGTTGTGAGCCACTTGAACTTTCAGAAGTTCACTACAACTTCAAAGTCAAATCAACTTAATATATCAAAAAAGATGAACTTTTAATCAGAAACTTCAGAAAGTGAGTTTAAGTGGCTCACAGCAGACAGTTGCAGTTCCAACTGGCAATTTTATTGTCAGTGAATGCAAAAATCTTAGTAAGGTGAACAATTTTGAGTTGTATTTTTTACAGTGTAGAGACTCAAATAGTGATTGACCAAATATTTGTGGAAAACATTAAAGGGTTAAACATACTATCATTGTTTATGATTCTATGGGTTTGTGATTTTAATTCTTTTTTTCATGTTTTGTGCAGCATCTTGAGTTCATTGTGTCTGAACTGTGCCACACTGTTCCAGGGGTCCATAACAGGTTGTTGCTTGTGAGGATCAACTCAATTCTATGTTTTCAATTTTGTATCTCCCTAAATCACGACGTCAGTTATCTCGAAGGACTTTACAAAACCGTCCTCTTGCCAACACAGATCTGAGAATATCAACTATCTCATTGTTATTCCAATCAAAGTATTTATATGGCACCTTAAAACAAACAGCCAAAGCCAAAGTGCGGAAAAATAAAATCCATAAATGAGCAAAGATCAAGATATAAATCATTACAAATGCAAAAAGAAAATTTCTTTTTTCTTTTTTTTAATCTCTGACAATACAAGATTTTAGTGTGAACTCTTCCAGTTTCAGTTCCGCCACATATTCTTGTGCTCTGTTTAAGTTAGCAATCTGCAACTATTTTTTCCTTTAAACAAAATCACGTTTTTTGAAGTCCATCAGCTAATCGCTGTGCACCCATGAAGCGGCATGTTGGGGGAGTGGTTAGCTCTCTCTCTTCTTAGCAAGAAGGTCTTGGGTTTGATTCCACCTCCAGACAGGGCCTTTCTCAGATTGCATTTTCTTCCTGTGTTTGCACAGGTTTCCTCTGGGTGCTCCAGTTTCTCGTATCTCTATACACATGTACAATAGCTCCTCTCTCTCTGGGGCCAGGACTTTCGAGACAAAAAGATTTTAAATTCTCTGTGGGACTTTCCCGGTTCAATGAAGGTCAAAAGGAACTTCCTCCAGGAACTGCACCAATGGATCTAAAACCATTTTGAGATTCTGAACAACAAAAGTAAATGCCATGAAAACTGCAATTAGTTAACTCTATTTAAAACTCCACATAATGTATGATCCACCTACACTGCAAAAAATGATATGAGGTAATAAATGTTAGAATTATGTTTTTTTAATTTTTTTTTATCTTAATTTGACAAAATTCTGTCTTAAAACAAGATTTGCCAATGGGAGGCCATTTAGTCTATTTCAAGTACGGTTGATTTTTTTTTTTCCAAGGGAGACATTTCTTGTATGTTTTAAAACAAGATAATTTTGCTCGTCACATTGGCAAATGTTGTTTTAAGGTCATCAGAATGTGCTCAAATTAAGATGCATTTTGCCAAATTTGAGACATTTGTGATTTATTTTTCATAACTTATTGCAATGTTTAAGACTAATGTGGCTGCCATATTCAAGACACACTAAAAACTCTACAACAAAACATAATTTTATCCTTACTACACTCTAAATGAATCTACTTGGCTCGGCCTAGACTGCTGACCTCGCAACCCGGCAATGAATAATGCATGAATGGATGAATAAATCTAAGCATGTATTACAACTACATTTAAAAATAAATCCTAATACTAATAATAACAGCTTAATAAAAGAAAATAAATGCCTCTAAATTCTCCATATACTGTATTAGACTAGCAGAGCTCCATCTGCTGATTTGCAACATGCAGTGGGAGGCCTCAGGCTAATATTTATGTATTTATTTATTTATTTCTATTTTCATTCTGTACATGACAAGTTCAAAACATAACCAAAACAAGATAATATCAAATATCTATCTATGTATGTATATCTATCTATGTATGTATAAATACATAACAAAAGCACAGATATAAATAAATTGTGATGTTGAATTGAAGTACTGTGTCCATAGAAATGTATTGAGCCTGTAGATTGTTGTCCCCCAGCTTTAAAAAGCCTGTTGTAAGATAAGTGTATTTCTCGTCTATTTTTAAGACCCTCAAAGAAGTCTTTACAAACCATGTTAACAGTTATCACTGAATGGTGTTTATGATCGTAATTTCTACTTTTATTTACTTCAATTTCAAATCAATGTATCATTCTATAGTCCTAAATGATACAGTAGTTCTCTCGGAGGACTCTACAAAGGATTACTATTGCAGCAACACAACATCAGGTAAAACTAACCCAACTCTCGCCAACGCAGATCAGAGAAACCTCACCACTGTCCGTGGATCTTCATGTGTATTTACCTATAAAATAAAATAATCTATAGCCTGTAGATCCACAACCTCAGTTCTGGATTGCAGCCTCAGACCTGGATCTACAGCCTCAGTCCTGGATCTACGGCCTCAGAGGATCTACGGCCTCAGTCCTGGATCTACGGCCTCAGTCCTGGATCTACGGCCTCAGTCCTGGATCTACGGCCTCAGTCCTGGATCTATGGCCTCAGTCCTGGATCTATGGCCTCAGTCCTGGATCTACGGCCTCAGTCCTGGATCTACGGCCTCAGTCCGGATCTATGGCCTCAGTCCTGGATCTACAGCCTCAGTCCTGGATCTACAGCCTCAGTCCTGGATCTACAGCCTCAGTCCTGGATCTACGGCCTCAGTCCTGGTTCTACAGCCTTAGTCCTGGCCTCTTAATGCTGAGGAGGGCGGTTTAAACACAAACTAACAGGAGCCAATTTCCATTTAGGAGCATTCTTATGAAATGTCTTGTTCCTAAAGAAATGATCAAATCAAAAATCCACCTAAACTTTGCCGAACAAACAAGCAACCCAAATGGGAGCCTCATTCTGCATGCTCTCTGATTGGATACTCAGGTGAACATAAATATTGAGAATGATGCGAACAAATGATATGTATGACCTGTTATCTGGGGACACATATCAAAGACAACTTAAATTACCTATGTGCAAAACAAAAAATTGACTGAAGAAATACTTAATATTGATATACACCGTGCGCAGTGCAAGCTAATATTGGAAATTTTTTTTACACTGCAAAACAGTGATGACAAACAGTCTATCTTTATCTTATGAAAGAGAAGTAAAAAATTGCTCAAATTTGGCAAAATTTATCTTAATTTGAACACATTCTGACTGCCTAACAACAAGATCAGAATGTGCTCAAATTTTGACACATTTGAGCAATTTTTAACTTATTTCTCATTACTTTTTGCTGCGCAGTCAATGATACAACAACAAAAAGACAATAGTTAAATCTGCAGCCCTGGAGCTGCACTCTCAGTACCAGCACTCACATGACTTGGATAGATTAGAATAGAAAAGAATAGAGTTGAGTCTCACCGAGCATCTTGCTGAGGACCGCGTTGTGGAGGTCTGGGTTCTGCAAGGCCAGCCTCTTCCTCTCGTCTTTGGCCCAGACCATGAAGGCGTTCATGGGCCTCCGGATGCGCTGCTCGGCCTTCCCCTCCGCGGGCACCGGACCCCCACGGCTCTGGTCCCCCCCCCTCCCTGCAGCTGGACCCAGGGAGCTGTCCGGAGAGCTGCAGCAGTCCCCAGACTCCGACTCTGGGCTCGGGGTCCCGCAAGTCCAGGGGCCGTCCATGGGGGAGGGTTTGGGGTGTAGGAACATGGGCTCGGGCAAGTTCATCGCCATCGGATGAAAACGGAGGCAAAGGTTTAGTCTTTGTTTGTTGTTTGAGAAAGTTTTGTGGACTGGAGTGAAAGAGTTTGACAACAGAATTTAAAAAAACTAAAATTGTACAGTTCACTGGATTGGACTTTTCTAAAGCAAAAGTTATGGTTTTGTTTTGTTCAAGGCAAATTATCAAAATGGCTCAACATTTCTTAGGATCCTGTCAGAAAGTTTTGGAAGCAAATCATCAAAATAAATTGATTTCACAACCATAAAAATGTGAAAAAATGAAATAAATCATTGGACGGACCTTAGATGGAGATTTTTAAAGCAAAAGTTGTGTTTGGTTTTAAAGAGGAAAAAAGTGTTTTAAAAATGGAAAATAATTTTTAAGGCCAAATGGCTAAACTTTACGGAGTATCTTGTTTTGGCTGCGGTTTCAAAGCAAAGCATCAAAATAAGTTAAAATTACAAAAGAAATGTATCCAGGAAAAATCATTGAACGGAGTAGAAAGAAATCTGGTTAAATAAAAAAGCCAATTTTCAAGGAAAAATAAATGATAAGTGGATCAACATTACTACATTTGTTTAAAGGTTTTGTTTGCCTTTTTCAAACCAAACCATCAAGATAAAACCATACATTTGCTCCAGAAAATATAGTTTGATACTGATTATCAAGTCTTAAAATCAATTCAGTAAAATTGACAACAAATCTTCCTGGTAAAAAAGTGTTAAATTTTCCAGATTCAAAATCCGCTCTCAAAATCTTACTGTAATTTGTTTGTCTTGCCATCCAAGTGCCATTTTCTGTCAAAAATGTCTTCAGATTTTTAAACAGGGACAAACTTGAGTTTCAAAAGCAAAAAACCATCCAGAGAAAAGAAGAACTTAGCTGGATCCCTTCTGAAAGTCCCAAAAAACGACAACTTTTAAATGATCAAAAGCAAATGTATGGCTTGACAGGGGATTTTTCAACCATTCCCACATCAAAACAGCAAAGATGTTGGAGCCAAACCAGTTCAAGACTCGCAGATTCCCAGTCTCTCTGTCTCTGTCTGAAACTTCTCAAACTTGTGGCCAGACTCTGCTCCGGCTTTATATACCCCGCCCTGACCTAAGACTACTGTGGGCTGCAGCCAATGAGGAGCCAGAGAGCGGTGAGGGCATGAACAAGGGGGTTTCTGGGAAGAGGGGGGTACCTTCCTTTTGGACCACCGCCCTTTCCCTGGTCCCAAACTGACGTCGCGCCTCGAGATGCAATCGCGAGTCCATGCCATTGTTTCTCTCACAGACGAATGCACACGCTACGGCCGCCTGCTGAGGAACTGAGCAGAGAGAGAGCGTGAGAGACCTGAGAGAGACCTGAGAGAGAGCAGAGAGAGAGACTAGAGAGAGAACAGAGAGAGAACAGAGAGAGACCAGAGAGAGACCAGAGCAGAGAGAGAGAGAACAAAGAGAGACCAGAGAGAGATCAGAGACAGACCAGAGAAACACCTGAGGGGAACCACAGAGAGACCCGAGAGAGACCAGAGAGAGAGCAGAGAAAGACCTGAAAGAGACCAGAGGGGGACCAAAGAGACACCAGAGAGAGAGCAAAGAGAGTCCAGCACGCACTTGAAAAAAAGAGGTTTTTAATCTCAATGAGACATTCCCGGTTTAATAAAGGTTAAATTGTCGAATTAAAAAAAATCTAAGATTGAGATGAGATCTTTTATTGGTCCCACGGTGAGGAAATGTCAGTGTTGCTTCACCAGTTACAGAAGAGTAAGTATTAGTATTAGTTATTTATATACCGCCTTTTCACTGCACATTGGAGTCTCAAAGCGGTTTACAATTGTGATTTTTGGGAGTGGGGGTGCCAGTACAGGAGGCACATGCCAGACCTATTGTACATATTTTTAGTGGTAGGGGAAACTGGAGCACCTGGAGGAAACCTACGCAGACACGGGGAGAACATGCAAACTCCACTCAGAAAGGCCCTGGTCCAACCGGGATTCGAACCCCGGACCTTCTTGCTGAGAGGCGAGAGTGCTATCCACTCAGCCACCGTGCCGCATGTAAGAATGAGAAACAATAACTAAATATAAGATCTCTAACTTTAGCATAATAACATGGACACATGTGGTTCTATATTGCACATTCGGACATTATTGCACAACATGTGAGGTCAGGTCGGCAGTGTTCATGAGTCTTCATTGTTCATTGTACAGCCTGACACCAGTGGAATCTCTCTAGCACTTAGCGAGTGTAAAACCACAAAGAGTTGAACCATATATACTCGCATGTCGTGGTCTTATTTTCTGACGAGATTTTACTTTTACAAGACTTTTCTGTTGGAACAAAGAAAATATATTTATTAATGAGACAAATGTTTTGGTATTTAACCTTTTATCAGACGAAGTAAACGTACAAGTCCACAACGTTTTGGACCAGGAATGCTTTGAAATTCTTCTAAAACCAAGCTGAGAATTCCAAGATTTTATTGGCATGTATAAATGTCAGCTAAATATAAACATATTCTCAGCACAAGAGAAGAGTCGGAGGCAGCAGACTTTAGTTTTCTCTATAGGATCTCAGGCTGATTTTGTGTCGTTGGGCAAAGCACATAGACATGAGGCGCCTCCAGGACTCTACTCTACTGCACTCTACCTGGTGGCGTTTCCATTATGCTTTAGTATCCGGTACCATATGATAATAGCCCACCTACAAAAAAACAGGATCCAAGGAAATCCCATTGTGACTAAACTAGACTGGTCCAAAAGAATTCACTTTAGTTGGGCCAAGAACCGACTTTTGGACCACCTGTGAAGACGTTTTTGAGAGGTAAAAAGATACGTACTTTAGCATTGAGTAATTCTCCTTCCAGGTCCACCCCCATCGGCCCGGGATGGTATTGCAGAATGTCAGCGCAATACCAGCCCAGGTTCTGACCAGTCACCACGAACTAGGTACCAGTTCAGCCTGGATTGAACCAGGGCCAAGAAGGTACTGACAAAGCACCAGGTACCGGTTGAACAGGGCCGGTGGAAATGCTCCAAACTGGTATAGAGTAGAGTAGAGTAAAGTAGAGTAGAGTAGAGTAGAGTATGGGATAGTTTCCTATAGAAGCGTAGAGTAAAGAAATAATTATAATGCATCGGTTTTATACAGCGCTTATACACTCAAAGATGTCATTATTCTTTCACTCCATACACAGTGGTGATAAACTACTGTTGTAGCCACAGCTGCCCTGGGGCACACTGACAGAAGCGAGGCAACCGGTCTGTGTCATCGGCCCCTCCCACCACCACCAACCATTCACACACACACCAGATTCATTCCCATGTGCGGGAGGTGTCTTCCCTAAAAAGGAAAAGGCAAACTTTATTCCTTAATTCATCCTCTGCATTTGCCCCTGATGCCATAGGGCGTCTGTCAGGAGCAGTGGTCGTCATAGTAACAGCGCCTGGGATCCAGATGTTGATGCTCTTGGTCAGGACTGCAGGAGCTGGAGGATTGACCTATTGTGCATGTTTTTAGTGGCAGGGGAAACCGGAGCACCTGGAGGAAACCTACACAGGCACAGGGAAATCATGCAAACTCCACACAGAAATCCCTGGAGGTTGAATCGACATTGTTGGCTCTGTGCCGCCCTGATCTGAAAATCCTTGATAATATCCCCTTTAATGTCAACCGAAAACAAACATTAGAATTCTCCACATTCCAGAAGGTTGGAAAGAACAAAGACAGTTTCTTTAAATATATTTTACAAAATTGCTCAATATTTTGGAGGCTGTAATAAGCAACACGACACTGGAGATTTATGATCAGCGAGATTTATGATCAGCGAGATTTATCTGCGGGAAGCCGAGTCAGAGGCTTCAATGATTATAGATGCATCACTCTGCACCAAACTGCAACAAGCAAGGAGCACAGGGACTGGCCTCCTGCTGGGACTCGGAGGAGCACAGGGACTGGCCTCCTGCTGGGACTCTGAGAAGCACAGGGACTGGCCTCCTGCTGGGACTCGGAGGAGCACAGGGACTGGCCTCCTGCTGGGACTCTGAGAAGCACAGGGACTGGCCTCCTGCTGGGACTCTGAGGAGCACAGGGACTGGCCTCCTGCTTGGACTCTGAGGAGCACAGGGACTGGTCTCCTGCTGATGCCCAGAGTCAAGACTAAACATGAGGAGGCGTTTCAGATTTACGCAGCGGAAACAATCTTCCTAAAAATGGGAGACAGGCTTCTATTCAAATGTGTTGAAACTGTTCTGTTTAACTGTGCTACAACTGAAGGATTTTATCTTTTATCTTTTTAATGTTCTGTGATTCTTTAGTATGTTTATTCCTTGTGTGTTGAATTAAAGACTTGCTTTAAGTAAAGAGTTGCTTCGTGTATAAACTGTGCTATACAAATAAACTTTTCCTTCTGTCAGTGCGTAAAGCTAAGAACACAATTGTATTTGGTTCATTGGTTTTACTTCCAACACACTGTGGACCCCTCACCCTTTCACCGACTTCTCTCCTCCTCCTCCTCCCTCCATCCTCCTCCTCCTCCTCCTCTCTGTGTAAGTTGTTGTTAAGCGTCGCCACTAATGACTGTGGTCGGGTCTGCGGTCGTCAGCCTGGCCACGCTCGCCCACGGCCCTGCCCTCCCTCCTCTCTCTCCCCTCTCTCCAGGAGGCCAGTCCCTGTGCTCCTCAGAGTCCCAGCAGAAGGCCAGTCCCTGTGCTCTTCAGAGTCCCAGCACAAGGCCAGTCCCTGTGCTCTTCAGAGTCCCAGCACAAGGCCAGTCCCTGTGCTCCTAAGAGTCCCAGCAGAAGGCCAGTCCCTGTGCTCCTCAGTTGATTCACATGTTTGTCATCACTATTTGTCAGAGAATAAAAAACGTGTTTGGTTTAAATCATTTTAAACTTCTCTCCTGGTACACCCTGGTTCTTACATTCACACAGGTTCAGCCTCTGGTGGTGTTTGGTTCCATGTTGTCCAGGAAACAATCCCATGATGCATCTGTGTGGTATCCCCCGACCTCGGACCTGGTC